GTGACCTAGAATTCAAGGTCTTGAAAACAAATTGAGGGCGGTTTGATAGTGGCATTCGTTCCCGTGGTCTCATCAAAACCGTTTGGTTCACCGGCGGAAGATGCAATGGTTTACACTGGCAATTTGTGCTACTTATTTTCTATATCTGGTACCAGCCTCTGATTACCATTCAGTCAATCTTGATGTCGTCGAATATCTTCCCCGTTTGTCCAAGCAACCGAATTTCAAACACTATTCGGGGTACTTAAGCGGAGCGACACCGAATATTCAATTGCATTACTGGTTTATGGAATCCGCTAATGATCCGGAAAAGGATCCACTGGTTTTGTGGTTAAACGGTGGTCCTGNTGTTCTTCTTTGGAGGGTTTGCTCGATGAAAACGGACCATTTAATGTGAGCTTTTCCCGGTTTTTGATTAATGTTTTTGATTTTACCTTCCCTACGATTCTTTGAACTTGGCTGAATAGTAACGAATTAAATACGTCATATCACTGTTAGGAATTAATTGCGCGTAATACCCCTGTCCAACTGTGCCCCCACATTTTCTACCCATTGTGCCTCGTTCCTAAGCTAGAACGTTCACTGTTAGTCGATCAATGGCTTGGGAGAAACCTATATGAGCCTTGTCTTCACTGACTCAAGGTATGCATTCGTTTCTGAACTGCAAAGCTAAATTGCTAAGTAGAAAGCGGGCAGCATAGAAGAGGTTCATAGCCACTAACGGTCACTCGCGATACTTTCAGTATTTGAAGGAGCGCAATACTTACGACAGGGCTTAATCGGAATTAGAGAAACGCTATGAGCTCACACTGACGAAGAAGAGCAAGACGTGCCCAAAAGCGAATTACGGCTATGTTCAGTCGAAGGCGGCCACTAGGGAAGCTATCGGGTGCATCCACGACGCTGGTGGCAACGTCACACTCACTATCTTGGGAAAAGCTTCCGCACTACCACGTCATTTCGAATCGTCGTACACTGTGGACTCGGGGATTACCCAGCAGGCACACAGTAAAACGACAGAGTGCCCCATGGATAAAATCCGCATCGGGCCACAGGAAGTCGAAAAAACTATTGAATCGCTATATGGGAACAAATCCGCAGGGTCCGGCGACATTCACTCAACGATCCTAGAATCAGTGAAGAGTATCTTAGCACGCTTATTAGCCAGCCTATCGGCCAAGTCACTTGAGACAGCTACCCTCCCTAGTGACTGGAAAGCGGCCATAGCCACACCCATCTATAAAGGGGTGTGTGTGGCAGAGATGCCGCCTCGAACTATAGACCAGTGAGCTTGCTATCAGTAGTACTAAAGTTCATGGAGAAGGTAATTCGCGACAAAGTAACCCGTCATTTTATAGGGAACAACACGCTGACGGAAGATCAGTTTAAATTCAGACGGGGTAGGCCCTGCCTAACAAATCTGTTAGCCTGGAGGAAGTGACTGACAGGCTTGATAAAAATGAACGTGTTGAGGTATGCCAGGTAGATTTTAGGAAGGCCTTTGACTCAGTGAGCCATGGCCTACTACTACTGAAACTATCACAGTTAGAAGTGCACCCTAAACTCCTAAATTGGCTCCGGATTTATTTAGTAGGCCGCACTTTCCAAGTTACGATAGATGGCAAACTTTCAGAGGGAGATCAAGTAACAATGGAGTGCCTCAAGGCTCCGTCCTTGGACCGTTGCTGTGCTTGATCTTCAGTGTGTAGCAAACCCACTATTGCTTGCTGATGATGCCGAAATCCTAGCCTCCTGACAACGGAGGGATGCAAAGTGACCTGAACAGGTCACACTCATGGATTAAGCAATGGTGCCTGCCTGTGAACAGTAGCAAGCGCAAGATCCTGCCCACGGGAGATCCGGTGGGCAATCTTCGGTACGCGGGAGCATCTGTAGGCGAAGTAATCGAACTAACCACCAAGGTGAATAATCTTGGGATTACCATAAATTCCACGTTCTCATCCTCGCGTCAGTGCTCCATAGCAGCCCATAGAGCAAATGGAGCACTGTACAGGCTGCGTAGAACGATATCTAGAGACCCGGAGGTTCTGGCCCCCTTGTACAAAGCGTTTGTACGACCCCACTTGGAGTACTGTATCCAAGCGTGGGCATCAGTGTTAATGCGGGATAAACTGGTACTGGAGAAGGTTCAACGCCGCTTTACGCAAATGTTCCCCCTCCTAAGGAGACTAACTTATACTGAAAGGCTGCGAGCACTGGTTTTTTTCCCTCAAGTGTCGGAGACTTTGAGGTGACCTAATCGAAACCTTTAGAATCCTGAAAGATGTTTCACAGGGTACCAGACACCTCTTTGGGCTAGGCGGGGATCGGACAAGGCGCGGTCACATCCTGAAGCTAAAACAAACCTAGGGTACACAAAACGATCAGGGGCAACGTCTTCTCACTGCATACTGCCAAGAGCTGAAAGAAGCTGACAAATGAGATCGTCAACTGTGGCAGTGTGCACGCCCCAAAAATGATGCTCGACGCATCTTGGGACACTGTTTCCCGAGTTTTCTTAGAAACAGCATCAAAAGGATCACGC